TATATATATATATTCCTCTCTGTGACAGATGCCAACATGATTTAGAGAAGAGTGGGGGGAGGGTGGAATAGAAGTTGTGTAGGCAGAGCAGATCTTCTTTCTCTGGGGATGAAAATAAAGTTTTTATATTCATAGCACATAGATATCTTGTAGTTACTGAAATAACTCACTGGTTCTAAAAGTCACCTACTCAGTGGAGTCACAGGCTCACCATACTCTCTGTGACTAACAGTATGTGACATTTTTTTTTCCCCATAAACTGTAAGAGAGGGGTAGTAGGTGCTATTCCAGGCAAGGCTGTACTGCCAGCTGAGTTACATTTCACATAAGGATGTCATACCAAGGGGCACTGTATCCTGAAAACGTATAGTGAAACATGTCCAACCGCCTTCCCACCTGTGTTAATCTCTTTTTTTTTTTTTTTTTTTAATCAAATGGACCACTTACCTAAATGCCAAATTATGTGAGGGTTGCATAGATATTGAACTGGAATTTGTTTACTCGGGGTCTCCTCTCCTTATGAGCTTTGAAATACTGTATTATGTGCACTATATATGGCACTAGTCTAAATAGAAAATTTTGCTTTTGCAGCAAGTCAAGCAAGGGATTTGTTATCAAAAATGCTGGTTATAGATGCTTCTAAAAGAATCTCTGTGGATGAAGCCCTGCAGCACCCATACATCAATGTTTGGTATGATCCATCAGAAGCAGAAGCTGTAAGTTCTTGTTTTAGGTCTCTGATTAGGAAGGTACTGTACTAAAGCAAACTTGTTGTGATGCTTGATATAACTGCTTGAAAGAAGATTATTGCATGATCTACGCATTTCACTAGAAGCTTAACTGAGCTGTAATCATTTTTATTGACATAGATTGACATGTTTGTTAGAAATAGCGTTAGGAATGGGCATAAACTGCTGAAGTACCTGTATCTCTGTGTGTGTGTGTATAATTGCATATAATCTCCTGGACATGTAGTAATGCATCTGGAATCTTTTATATAGGGTTCTGATTCATTGAGCTTCAGTTGTTTCAGTGTGGTTTGATTGCCCTTGATAGGATTCTGAGGCATTTACTTCTGGGCAGAAGACATACAGTCATTAGTTGTAGCAATTGATAGTACTCTTAAACTAGAAAATAAGTATTTCAGCAAAATTTGAGTACAAGATCTTGAGCTTTCAATTATTAACACAATAGCTTTCAATTATTAGCACGAAGGGATTAATTGAAAATTTTTCTTAAAAAATTAATTTCAGGACAATTTCACCTTATGATTCACCTTATCATTTTTGTTAAGACTAAGGTGGTTGGTGATGGCCCACTAAGAATAGAAAAAGGTGCTTGATGCAAATGGTGGGATTAGAATTCTACTGATCTATAATAGCTAGAGGGAAAAGTTAGTAATTAACAGTAAGTAGGTTAAAAGGGCTGCTTGGGGTGGAGACTGCTGCACTTCAGAGCTCTCTTACTAGACTGTTCAGTTTCTATTCTAATTATCACAGTAATATAAGCAAATCTGTTGATCAGAAGAAGTTTAAAACACGTAGCAGCATCTAGAAAATAGGCCAAGTCCAAGCATGAGAGAATATATGACCATGTAAATACAGTATTTTTAAATCAGGTGCATATTCTGAGTGCTTATTTTCGGTTTTCATTTATTCTGTTTTTGTATCCCTTTTGATTGCTTTATCATGAGTCAGTTTTGTTTTTCAGCCTCCACCAAAGATACCAGATAAGCAGTTAGATGAGAGGGAGCACACGATAGAAGAATGGAAAGGTAAGAAGGGCATTTTAAGTTTACTAAGGCCTTTGGAAGTAGGCTGGGCCCCAGGATTACTGTTATTAAGGTTCTTCTGAGCAACCTAATAGTATTTACTTAAACTGTTTGGAATGGCAAGGGAATAGATCGGTGCTTCACAGCCTCGTGATTATTGGGACACTGAAAATTTTCCTCTGAAGGTGCTGAACCTTCGTAGTCAACTTAAGACCTGCTCATTTCAGTCACCTTTTGCAAAATATAAGGCAGTGTTTTTAGGGAGGGTAACTCTTCTGGACAAAGTGTTACAGGTAAAAAAAGGTGCAGGAGTTTGAGCAATTTAAGTCTGAAGTAGAAGCAGTAGTCTTCAAGTGAGGAGCGTATTAGCAGTAACTGTACTCTTTTAAATCAAGCAGAGGATTTAAAACAAGAAGCTGTAAGAACTGTTAGTAATGGATGAGATAGTGAGGTTACACCTGGTGTGGGAGATGCTGATGGTTATCAGCTGTGGAATCCTGAGAAAGTAGCTGGGGTTGAGGTGTGGAATGGATCGCAGTGTGACATAAGACTCATACCTCCAAGAGCATGATTTTTAGTCTCCACTACTGGTTTAGTACATGTATTTCCTGGTCATATATGAAGTGTAAAATGATAAAGTAAAAGGGGAGCATCTTTGTTACTTGTAAAGCTTGTGCTTCATTTTGAAATTGCTTCTAAAAAGTGTGGTGTTATTGCAGAAGTCCTAGTGCTAAGAAAAAATGCAGATCCAGAGAGCTGTGCAGGCTATAACTGTTGTATTAAGCACGAATTTAGTGCATTGAGAAATCTAATACTTTGTATTGAAAACGTCTAGGAAGGGACATTAGACCTCTATAGCCTTTTTATCCCCAGAGGAAAAAAAGCAGGAAATATATTTCATGAATAATTTTTGACAGTTTGATTGTGTTGGCATGTAATGGACACAAGTCTGTAAAATCTAGTACTACCACACTTTTAAGTCGCTTTCTATTAGAAACTGAGTTTTAATTGTAAAGGCAGAGATAGGGAGAATTGTGGAAATTCTCTTACCATCCTCCTTCCAAGCAAAGTTATTTCCCTTTCTGAAGCAGATGTGCTGAAGGTAAGTATTTCAGGCAATATGGAGTTTACTTTTGAGACTCCCACAGCCCTTGAAATTATAATTCTTAAATGCTTTTTTCTTCCAAACTGTTTGTACATTGCATTAGTTCGCCATTGACAGTTAAGAAGTAGTATTCTGACAGTTCTTACAAGTTGTATTTAACATGTTTAGTCCTGTTTAGTCCTTTTCTTCTATTGTTACTTCTGTAGATTCACAGCTGAAGTCTTTTCTGGGTAATAAGCTGCCATTAGCCTAGAAACCTTCTGGCCAGTACACAGGGTATAGGATTCATGTTACAAGCCCTTCTGACCTTTCTAAGGATGAGGAACTTCTGTAACTGGAAGATAAAGTTGATGCTTTCATTTGGAGTGGCTACTTATATGCCAATACTGTATTCCATTTCATGGTGATCTGGACCTTTACATGTTGTTGCTGAGGAAATTTAGTGCCAAATGTGTGTCGAGAGGATGGCAATGCTGTTTGGGTTTGTTCCTACCTGTTCCTTTGAAGACTGCTGATAGAGTTTATCTGTACCAAAGAAGCCACTGATAAAAACTGAGTGGTCATTAAGACTCAGTTTAACCTCAGGTCCCCAAGCAGCCTGGACAAAAGAGTCTGAAAGCAATGTCACTGTGTTCTTGAGCGTGCCAGGCCATTGTCGCTCTGACAGAAAAGAATTGTACATTTTTATATCACTTGCCAGTTTTTCTGTAGCCTCTTCAGCCTGTTGTTCAGAACTAATTCAAACCAGTAATAAACGTATGAAATTTAAATGTACGTTTTAATAGGAGATGTATTATCAATCCAGTCTTGGGTTTGCAAATTCATTTTTTGCCTTCCTTTCTCTGCATTTTCAGAGTTGATATACAAGGAAGTCATGGACCTGGAGGAGAGAACCAAGAATGGGGTTATACGCGGACAACCAGCCCCTTTAGGTTGGTTACAATAAAAGCACAGTATCAAGCTACATTGAGTTATAGGTCAGGAGGGAGTAAATCTGTTCAAGACATCCAAGAGGACTCTAACTCAAAAGTATGGCTCTTAAATGACCAATAACCTTTTGAATTCTCTTTGAGATACTGCTTATTTGAATAGAATGTATGGGGTTGACTGCTCTTTTTATTAATCTGGTAAGTTCCTCTATTGTCCCCATGTAACTGAAGCTTCATTCATTTCAGTCCTCAAGAAACATCTTGGTACATGCTGGTACTCTATTGCCGTAGTCTGGTTAGATGTGTAACTTGTAGCTGGTGTGGTTTCAAAAAAAGATATAACCACTACTTACATCTGTTACATAATGAAACAGGATTTCTAGGTTGTCTGCCTTGAATATTCCCTCTAAACAGAAAGGAAAATTATGGAGCGCTATCAGAAACTGTTGCTGAATTTTGGAGAAAAATGTGACCGTTGACTGACCATTGAATAGGACTCCATTTGCACTGTTGAGAAATGATGGCAAGAGTTGGGCAGCAGTTGCTGACTCTGCTCAGAGTTCACTGAAGTCCAGACTCTGAAAAATCACTGCATATCTGAGATTGTATACATTCAATGTGGCTGAACACCAGCTATTTCCCAGCCTGAAAGGCAGGATGCGATGGGAAAAAAAACCAGTCCCCTTCTTTCTTTATCTAAATATGTAGATACATTCTGGCTTTGGGTCTCAGCATTTAGTAGGTTATCTTAGCTCTGGCTTCATGCAGTATTATCTGTGTTTGTGATTTTTAACCTTCAGCCATTAGCATTTTATTGTAATTTTGACAGGTATCATGTCATGTGACTTCTGTGCTTCTTGGCATACCACTCATTAAGCTCCATGTTAAAGACTTATGGGTTTTATTTACATCAACTATGGGTTGAGACACATCTTTTCAAACTTGCCAGAACAAGGGAAAGTAATGACTATTAGGAGGAGACAGACTAATGCAAGTACTGAACTGTGCAACTGTATCTGCAACTGATTTGCTGTTTTGTTTCTCATAGCACAGGTGCAGCAATGATCAATGGCTCTCAACATCCATCTTCATCGTCATCTGTCAATGATGTGTCTTCAATGTCAACAGATCCAACATTGGCCTCTGATACAGACAGCAGTCTAGAAACCTCAGCTGGACCTCTGGGTTGCTGTAGATGACTACTTGGTCTTTTGGGGGGCGGGAGGGGGGTCCTTTTAGTCATTAATAGGGCACCTTTAAAATATGGTGGTATTTTTGAGTGTTTTTTCAAAAATAATCGTAGAATTCATCATAAAGTGCTGTAATTTTAAACTGCAAGTTGTGTTAAAAGCAGCCACTTTTTTTGCTGTAATTAACTGTAAAATACTAAACCTGATAATTTTTATTGTGGTTTTAAAATCTGCATATTTGCTTTACTATTATGCTGCTGATCTTTTTTTTTTAACTGAATTTGTAAGATTTGTTTTATCAAAGCACATATTAATGTTGCGGTCATTACCATATAATGAATTATTTAAGATTTTAGAGGTTTTCAATTTTTTAATTAAAATTTATTCCAGATGTTTTGTTCATGATATCCTTCAGAGTTTTATGCTTGATCATATGTCCGTGTCCAGGTGGAGGGGGAGAGAATTCAGTGCAGCCAGCTGTAGTTTTGGGCATACTACTGTGGCGCTGGCAGTGAACAAAAATCCCCTTTTATTTTGGCCACTTGCCTGTAATACTTCAGCAAAAGCAACAATGAGTGAATTTTTTTAGAGAAACAGCGTACAATCCTTTGCAAAGTAACCTCATCTGAATGGTTTTACGAACTTGAGAAAGCAAAGCATATCTTCAAAGCTGCAGAAATATCTAGCCTAACAAAGTAATGCGATGTTTTCTGCAGAGTTGTGGCATGCCAAATCTTGTGATCGCCATAAAACATGAGGATACTTCATGAATAATACATTGCAATGCAAATAAACTGTTTACTTCTAGCTTGTAGCCTGTTTTTGTACACACAAAACAAAGTGTATCCAGGATGTCTAGACTGCCATGAGGGAAAACGAATATGCTGTAGCTATACTTTCATGTAATACGTGATTCTTGGGAGTTTTGTTTCTTACTGGTTTTGTCTACTAAGGCGAGCGCTTTTTGGGTGGAAGAGGGGATGCATGAATGCAGTAGGGGCAAAACTTCAGCTATTCTTTCTCCGCCAAAAGTAACTGATTGCTAAAAACCGTTAAATGGTAGGAGAACCTCAGGATTTCTGTAGCTAATGCATTAAGTGAGCAATATATGCCATCCAAAGGAGGGAGAAGTAGTGCTGTATAAATTTTTATCTCTTTCATTTCACCATGAGACCAGTGTAGCAGAAATCTTAATAATGGTTCATTTTAAGTCATAAATATTCAGTAGTTTTCAGCACTGAAGCTCCAGGTTTCAATACACTTTTTAAGCGAAAGATATATTGAAATATATAGAACAGTTACTAAATAGTCATGTAAAATGGTGCTGCTCCTCACAGAAGTATTTTAACTGTTTACATTTTATATTTACAGAATGATTTATGTATAACTGACTTAAGTTTATGTATGAGTTAAACAATCATTCAGAATTTATTCCTTTGGAAAATGCAGATTTTTAGTGAAGCTAGGCTGTATAATTGATTGCCTTGTGTAGATGCATATTTTGTGTAGTGAATTAGAATGTGAAGAGGAATTTAAATTAGTAATGCTCACAAAAATGAGCATAAAAAAATACAGAAGTCTTGCCAGGCACAGAGCATAAGCAAGTTATAACTGGCTACAGAGGTCATCCAGGAAAGCCTGATGCTCTTCAGTGTGGTTCCTTCTGCTTGTTGGGTTAAATAGGTATCTTTTTGAGGTTTTAATTGAAAGAGGAACATCTGCTTTTGCAGTAAGTTTCAGAAAAACGGAAGTGATAGTAGTGCTTTCAGTATCTAACATGTCTTTAAAAAACGTACAGGGTTACAAGGAATGGTAATGTCTCAAAGATGACTAAATTGATAAAACTGCACAGTTGTTTCCCTGGCCTGGCTAGACTGCTGGTAAGTGCTGTGTGCGTGTAATTTTGCTTTCCTCACTTTTATCTAATATTTCAATATTGCCTTTCTAAACCACATTTGTTAAGGCAATTATTTTTACAGGATCCTGCCAAATTGTATATTACCTCAGAATAGGCAGGACATGTTTGGATTCATCTAGCACTGGAACACAGAAAATCTGCTCAAGTTGAACAGAGACCAACAGAACAGTCGATTTTGTAATTTTTTTATCAAAGTTTAAGCTGTGAATTAAGCCAAAATTTTTGGTCATGCAACAGTACTCCATTGTTATATAGGGTCAAATGATATTCTGGTCAACCCAGTGTAATGAAGTTAAGGCTGACAAAATCAACTTCTGATGCCTGTAACTGCTGTTAAATTTGGTATTTATTTGGTAAATGTAATTCCTATTTAAATTTATTTTGGGACCCCTCTGGATTGCAGTGGTGACTGAAATATTTTGAAACTTTAAAATCATTTTTGCTATCACTTTCCAGTGTCCTAAAGAAAAATTGCTTTAAAACGAATATTGGGTGAAATAGTTACTAGGCTTTTATCACAGTGTGCTGTCAGTAGTAACTTCATTGAGTTCATAAGCTCTAAGGACAACTGAGCTTTTCTTCTTTTAAGCTAGGGTTGATGAATAGGTGGGACTGTCCACTCCAACCCATTGCAGTGAGTGTGGTTTTTTTTTTTTTTTTTTAGTTGCTTGCATTTTAGGGAAATTAAAGCATTGGCAAATCACTTTGGAAGACAAGAAAATCAAGATTCAGTAACCAAATTATCAGAACAACATGCTAGTCTTAACTTCCCTTTTTATTTCTTGAAATATAAAATTATTTCGTAGATAGTTGTACACTGCCACAGATAGCAAACAAATGGGTAGCTAGAGTTCAGCTGCCTTTGCCTATTGTTACGTTGTTAGCTCATACACTATCTAATACACTGTACAGTTTTATTCTTAAAGTATTATTAAGCTTTATTTTAGTCTATGATGCCAAAATCTTCTTATGACAGAGACTTCACTAAAGTGTATGCAACTTTCTGCTTCTAGGGCTGTTCCAGTCCATCGGGGGGAGTTGGTAGGGAGTGAATGACAGTGAGCTGTGCCTGGTTGCTTGTGTCAGGTGAGGTTAAAAGTTGGGCAGTACCAACGAGAATAATTTCCACTTTCTCTGGTCAGAGCTGTGGCAGGCATCAAGGGTAAAACAGCTCCTCTCCTTTTGTAGAAGTAGGTTCTTCAAGATTTTGAAATAGAAGCGTGGGGGGGGAATGAGTACTGTTACTGTGTGCTGGAGCTCTGCTCTGTGAAGTCTTTGTTAATGCAAGACAATGGGGTCAGAATTGAGGTTTTTGTGTGTTAGTGTGTGCGAGAAGCTGGACTGCCAGAGCAGCGCCCATCAGTTGAACGACCTTAGACCAGCCTGAGCGACCAGGTCACCTCTAACGCATGCATTCCGCTACGCTGAAGAGACATGGCGCTTTTCCCTGGGCAGGCGCTGTGCAGCTTGGGTTTTTGGTTTAGAAGACCCTTACTACGGTATATGCAATAGTATCTTTCTGGATAGGAATTCCAGCTAGATGCAAAGATAATATTGGCATAAATTGTTTGGTAAGCCCCCCCTTGCCCACATAGGTGTGAATTTAGGGGAGGACGTGGTGAGCTGTGTGAGGTGGTTGTGGCAATAGCACCCTCTACTGCCTCCATGTCCAAGTACGTAGTGTGTTACCAATGTGTGTTCGTTTTATGGAAAATTGCTTCTCTGAATACAGGCTATTTCATTAGAGAGCAAAAATTAATAAGCACCTTGACAGGCGTTTTGCATGAATATAATGCTCCTGCATTAATGTCTATGGCATTCATCTCAACACTGCATAAAGAAAAACAATCAAAAAGCTAGTACAGGAGGATAGTTCCTACTCAGCCAATAATTCAAAGCATATGACATGAAATGTTTCTCAGTTAAGATCATGGGGGAAAAGGGAGAAGATGGTTCAGCTTACACTTGGTTTTACTGTTTTGAGTTGCTGAAGGAAGTGAATTACTGTTTCTAGATATGTTTTTATTTGCTGTTGACAGCAGCTTGTCCGTGCTGTTACGTTGTATTTTTCCTATCAATGCTTTGGTTTTTACATACTTAGTTTGAGGACTGGAGTTGAAGGAGAGCTGTCTGCATTTTTCAGTAAGATTAGAAAGAGGGTTTTAATGGAGAAACGTGATGAGACTCTGCTGCCTACCCAAATTTTCAATTCATTTAATTTATTCTTAGTTAAGGGCACTGGATAAAAGTGGTACTTTAAAAGTGATCTCTTTCACTCCTTTCTCCTCTTCTTTAGATATCTCTGCATTACAGAAATGTGTTATGATCAGATCACATCGTGTTTCTACTCCTGCAGTTAAAAATTTAAGCTAGGTTTTCTTGAACTACCTCACACAAACTTTCTACGTTTCTTAAGTAAGCAAAGCTAACCCTTGCTATTGGAACTACACTGAATGTGAATAGAAAAATACACTTCCTTTAGAAAAATAAACCTATTGGCCAATGTTGAGACAATATCAGTATGTTTCTTATATATTTCACGTAAGATGTTCATGTGTAATATATAGCTCGTGTACAATAATGTACATCTAGAATATTGTGTTAGCTGTAAATTGGTGATTTTATTATTGTAGTCTGGTTTTGTAGGTAAAAATAGCTTACTAGTAATGTCAGCTCATCCTTTACATTTTACAAAAGGAATAATTCTTGGTAAGCTTTGCATACAGATGACTTACTTTTGTAGGCCCAATATCTAGTCTATTTTTGAGAGTTCTTTAACTTTTATTACTAAAGTTGAGAAAAAAACACGTTAATTATTGTGATCATTCCTTCTGCCCCTTTTGAAATATATTCTTAATATTATTTTGTCCCAAGAAATACAAAGGGGAAGATACACCATTAAAAATACTGGGAAAAACTGTAACTTTTTTTTTTTTCTTCCCCACATTTGATACCTTTTCCTTTATTCCCTCCAAATAAGCTGTTGGTGGGGCATTACTGAGAACATTGTGGTTTTTTTAATCATTCATGCCATAGGTCATTACATGTGCACCACTGGAATGTATACATTGTTATCTAGTATGTCAATTGGTTATAATGATATTTTAAATAAAAAAGGAAAAAAAAAAGTTTGACCACTATGCATTTAGTGTTTCTTCATTACTAGGCTGCAGTGGATTTCGTATGGATTTCAGAATAAGGCTGCAGTTGGAGTCTTATTAGCATCAGTCCTTCCTGAGAATTCATCTGGTTTTAATGGTACTTAAAAGTCCTGTCTCGTGTGTGAGCTCAGTTGTGGGCAAAAAGTGATATGTTTCTTCCATTTTGCCATTTCCACGGGCTTTGGATGTGCCACAGACTGATAATATCAAGTGTGTTTGCCACCACTGGGAATCCGTTCTTACTTCCTTGCTGCCAGCTCTAGCCACCGCCTTTCCTGGAAATACAGCTGCTGAGCCCTGCGTTGCAGAAAGAGGTAAGCTGTGGGCTGGCTAGTGTGTGAAAGGAGGGCCCAGTCCCTGTGCCCTCAGGAAAATCTTTCTCAGAACTGAGTCTCAGAGAAGCCTGAAGGATCTGACTTCGGAAGA